GAAAGCCCCTTGGGTTCAATTACTTAGGGGTTATTGGTAGTGTTAAAATACGTATTAAAATGAAATTTGGGTCAGCTAATTATAAGTTTATATTTTCATTATTGGATAGGCCGATAATTCTGCTCTTCCCCATCCTAAACAAGACATGTTGGGCCTTATGTTTATGGCCTGATTTAAATTCTTTTGCATTCAGTGTGCTGAGCAGTTAATTTTGGGGAGCTGGTTTAGGTGTTTTGTGGTTTGAATTTTAGCTACTATACAATGACAACAATTACAGCTGATAGTACTTAGGATGTGCCAGACACCATTCTAAAAGCTTTATGTGTTAGCTCATTTATTCTTCAAAATCCTGTGAGAAAGATACTTTTATTTTCCCTATATCACAGATAAGGAAATTGAGTCACAAAGAAGAGTCTACAAAAGTCAGGTCTAGAATTTGAGCCCAGGCCTGGTCATTTAGTAATTTTTTTTTTAAATGGATACAATTTGAGAGAAGTAGATTGAGAAGATTGTTCTCAGTCTCTAAAGAATTAAAAGGCCTTTTTTTCTTTCTTTTTTTCTTTCATTTTACTTGTGTCACTTATTTTTACACTTGACTGTTATTTCTAAAGTGACATACCTAGCACAGCTTCAAAAGGACTATATTAAAGTTGAGCCCATGATAGTTAGGATCCTACTGATACCAGTGAGGATCCTCACAAAATGCTTTAATTAGGTGTTACATACTTGAGTTCCACAATTAGTGAGAACCTACTGTGTGTCTGGCACTGTGCTCAATATATTAGAATAGAACATCAAGTCTGAAGTGAAGGCTGACGCTTCACCTCTCTTTTTACATACTTTTTTTTTAAAACCAGTTAAGCAAGAAAAATGACAGATAATGCTTCAGTGAGAAAGGAAAGGTGCTACATAAGAGTATGAGCTGTTAAGTTACAACCCAGGGAAAAGACCCAGGAACTATTGTGCTATTATTCTCTTGAAAATTTGGCCCAGTAAGCTGCTACATCCAGTTCAACTAACAAAATCCTGTATACCACAGAGAAGAATAAAGAAAACCAAACTGACAAACATCCTTCTTTTATTTAAGACCAAACTGCAGCTGGAATACCCAGTACAGTTCTGCTTACTACACTTCAAGAAAGATCTGAGAAAGCGGAAAAAGAACCAAAGAAGGGCAGTTCAAGCGACCAAAGGGTGGGTGGAAGGTGCTGCAGTATGAATACTGTGTGAATATTTTGACTCTGGTCTGAAAAGATAAAAGAATGTTACTGAAACTACATGGAATAATTGAAGTCCCTTCAAGTATGAAAGTAAACATTTTAGGACAAATAAAAGGAAATTCAGCTTTGTACTTGTGGAAACTAATCCCTAAATTTGAATAGGTTTATATTGATTCATGGATAACAGGTCCATAATTACTGGAAACTAGGATGTCTGAATATCGAGGAAGACAGCCATAGTCTCTTAACAGTGCCTCTATTGGTCTGTCTCAAACTGAATTGGGTGAGAAAAGGTATGGTCCAGTATAAACTTTTTCTTGGTTATCTCTTAAAGTCAGTTACATTTTTGCTATTGGCAAATCTTGCCTTTGTTTATTCCAGTGCCACTGTTTTCTGCTTAATGGTTTGCTTTGTTGGTATCTGAGTTTATTTACCTGTATGCCATGTGCAGTTTACATCTTCCTTAAACACTCGTTCCCAGGTAAATTCTAGTTATAATACTTGACATCCAGCTAAGAGGTTCCATCTCTTCTCACCTCTTTCCTAGTCAGTATATTCAGCAAACATTTACTGAGCCCTTACTGTGAGCAAAAATTGTACTGGGTAATTGGGGGGAAATAAGATTAAAAATTCACTTACTCAATAAATGTCTACTGAGCACAATCTAGTGAATAACATTAAAGTATGGCCTCATTGTTTTGTTTGGGGTGTATTGTTTGTGACAATATTTTACACCATTCATATCCAATGTAATTATAAACCCAATATACTATCAAAGATAAGTAATTTTTGTGGTTACCTGCCATTTAAAAGTATCTGGTATTTATTTCTGTTTGCATCCCATTAATACAAATAATGAAAAAATGTTTAATCTGTAATAAACTGATTTATTGTGCAGTGACTGTAATATACTAGAATTATATTAAATTGTTAACTCTGCCTCCTCAAACACATTAGGAAACAATCCCCTGAAAGTATTTCATTTTGCATTAGATATGAAGAACACTGGGTGCTATAATTAGATTATTTTGAGGCAGACAGAGAGCTGTTATCCCAACTGATTTAGTATGTTCTGTAATTGAGAAAATGTTCACCAAGTTATACTTTTTAGTGATTGACATGTACATTTTATAGGGGACATGTTCTGTGTATAGTGAATAAATAACTTTTATAGTATCATGAAATGTTTTGCATTCCTTAGTTCCTTATTAGGATATTGAAGAATATTTGCCTATATATATTGATTCCATCACTCATATTTTTGTCTTATTTTTGCCACATTTAAACTTCACATAAAGTTACTCGTCTAATATAGAAGTGTTTAAACTTCTAATTTGTAAAGATTTTGAAAATACAGACTACACGAGATATAAAATGGAGGTTATTTTTACCCTTGTTCAAACTTAGAAGATTACACAGTAAATAAGTGGCAGATACCAGATACTAGAGTCCCATGATTTTTTCATTTGGTTCATCTTTGTCACTGTTTTGCCCTATTTTTTAGTTAAATGGGAAATTTTTTATAATGAACTTAATATAATGGAATCGAGTTCACTTAGAGGGAAGATTTAATACGTTTATAAGAAGGCTTAATGAAAAAGTTTTTTTGTAGCTTTTCTGGATGAAAAAGATTAAATGTAGCCCAAGATCTCAGTTGTGACAACACTCTGCAGGCTGGTTTTCCAAATTTCAGTATTGTATTACATTTTGGTCATACTCCAATTTACAAAATCCTGATATTTTGAAATGGGGAAGCTCTGACTTGAGACAGCAGAGGGGTAGCTGAGGAGTAATCTAATGGCATGCTACCAGGTCTATCAAAGCCTTTAGGAGTCCCAGGAGTAAACTGTTCTCATGGATAAATGAAGTACAGTATATAAAAGCAACCTATTTGTCTTCAATTATTGACGTCTACAAGACAGCTAGTTGCTTTGGAAAGATTATCTTGGGTTTTTATCATGTGCCCCCTCCTCCAATATTGTTAATGTTAGCATGTTACGTTTTTGTATTCCTAACAGTTGTTTGAGCCTTATATTAAAGATGGGATTTTTTTTGTTTGGAATAAAAGCAAGGCTTGTAAATTCATGTCATTGATCATTGACAGAGTAGTTTGTTAAAAGGCCTTTGTGTCTAGTTTTTTGTAGAATGCTGTATTCTACCAAAAAGGAAAAAAAAAAATACTGGACAGCAAAATAAAAATGCACTAGGAGCCAAAAATCTTGGGGTTTTTTCTTCAAGGTTTAGTTCTGCCTTACAGATTTGTGATTGGATAGGTAGGCTTTCACTTTGTGTGAGGTTTTAAAGTGTCTATTGTTTTACAAATTGTGCATGAGAACGCAATCTAGAAAACCCACCAAAAACCCTTGTTTCTTTCCACTTTGTACTTGCTTTTGGGAAGAGAACTTACCAGAACCTAAGATAGGTTATAGACTCCAATTCCATGATACTATAACACTGCCACCAAAAAGGACAAATTTAAACCTTAACACTGAGGGCTCATACTATGGCTGCCATAAGCCCAGGAGGAAGGGTTCCTCCAAGTGCAATGATTTGGGAATTATGTCACCTGTAGGTTAATTACAACTTTTATTATCTAAGGTATGAAATACTATCATTGACCTTTTATTTGGGTTACTTTTAGCTATTAAAAAATTGAGGTAAAAACTGTCCTTCCACCCTCAATCCTCTGAATTACCATTCAGAACGTATAGACAGAAGCCTGGGCTAAGAATTGTTCAATGTAGTGAAATTCTAATGTACAGGAAAAACCTTGGCAATCGTTGGCATTTTTCATAGAAATGGCACTGGGGATGTAACATGGAAAACACTCTGTTAATTACCTTCAAACCAGTTATTTCCTACTTTGTATGAGAAAAATAAATACCCTTGCCCTGCTAGGGTAGAACTTACTAACAAATAAAAAGGTTCTTGTTAATTTGAGGAATTCTTTTGTGCCAATTTTTTTTCTATAAGCCTAATTTTAGAATGTAGGAAAGAGAAAGATACGATTAAACCCTGCTTTACTCACTTGATAGCAAATGAATTTAAAAGTTTTTATTCTATAGCCCTTACTGTTAAGTCTTGATTGGAGGGAGTACATCTAATTACTTTCTTGTGTAGCTGTTGCATTAATCCCAGCGTATCAGCAAATTGGTTGCCTCTTAAAACCAAGTTTTACTGTAATTCAGAATAAGAATTAGGCAGTTGGCAATTTTTTATAAAATAAACAAGTCACTGGGGAGAAAATGTTTTATTTTAATTTCATGCTTCAAATTAATAATATGCACATTAAGTACTATATAAATTTGTCTTAGGATGTAATTATTTGAGTTGGGCAACATTACCTCACCTGAATTTGGAGAAATACAACTTGGCCATCCTGCTTCAAAATACTGAAAAAGCTGCCAGATTAGAAAACAGGGCACTTACAATCAAATTTTTAATTGATCCCCACATTTTTAATTTTTATTGGGTTAATGTTATACTTAGCATTTATAAAGGTAGGTAAAACTTTATCAAGGTATTATGCAAGCAATCACATCTTTTGAATACATGGTCCCCTGGTTGTACTTACTGGTGACCAAAAAAAAAAAACCAACAAAAGGCATCAAATTATGTATCATAGGTTACAAAAATTGTTCAAAGCCAATATGAATTTTAAAGGTTGGATGGACCCTTTAATAGTTTAATCTTTGGGCTTAAGGAATAAAAATTAAAGTAGTCCCATACTGCATTTCACATCTCTTAAAAATAGGAAGTGTTTTAGCAGCTTTAAAACCATTTGTTATATAAAACTTACTACACTAGTATTTATTTTGAAATATAGTTTACAACCAGATCAATTTTAACATACATACACTGGCACTTAGCACAAGGGCAAACTTTAAAAACAAATTATTTTGGACCTTTAAAATTAGGCCATAGGTGTAAAAAGAGTCCATGGTCTTACATTCAACAAATTCATACTAAAATACTCTTATTTTTGTAGGATAAATGCCAAAACTTTACATATGCTACAAGTTTATTACATATATTTACATGGCTCTTTCCTAGGTACTCACACTTTCACATTATGTAGCTCCCTACTTTAAGCAAGCTTTGCAGGGATGGTTTGAGGCAAGATCACTGTTAAAATAGTTTGTGCAGTGCTGTAATACAAAAATGCATTATGAAAGCCACTCTGACCACCAAATAGTTTATAAAAAATGGTTTTGGCACATCTTTTCAGTCACCTACCCACTGCATGAGAAACAGGACCACTGGAGAACTGTTTCATTCTAAATTGCTCCTAGTGCCCCTTCTACATTCACCACCATTCAGTTTACTAAACTGCAACTATTCTGGAAGGGAAATTCACATTTTCTTTTGGCAGTGCATCAGACTGTTGGCATATTACTGGTTTAGGTGTTTTTAGGACACTTTCAATATTCAACTAGTTCTCAATTGCTGTCTTAACTAGATGCTTAAAATCAGATTCACTAGCTTACAGCAAGTCAATCTGACTTGAGTGATAGTCTTCAATCAGTATTTTACCCAAAAAGCAAGAGAGAAAGTTGATTCCTTTACCACTTCCCAAATACAAACTTGGTTTCACCTAAGAGTTACTCAATTGAGAACGCTTGATATAAAGTACAGCTATTGGTAATTTAGTTATTTTAAGTGGCACTGATACTACCATTACATACCACAGTGCACACAACACAAAACCAGATGAAGTCTAATTGCATTTTCTTTATCAGTCAGCAGTTTTACAGAGACTAATACACTAGTGAACTTGGTATGAGACAATTGAGAACTACCCTTAAATATTACTAAACATTAGTACTTTATCTTCCTTCTATACCTGTACTTTAAGTAATGTTTTGAGTTGAAATGTCATTATTTCCTTATCAGAAGGATTAAAAGAAACAGGAACCCAATGGCTTGGTGGTTTAGGAAGAACACTTGGGGACGGTGGTTCACTAAATTTGGCTCCAGCATAGTTCTGATTCGTTTGAGACTTAAAAAGTAAACTGGGACTTGATAAGCTAGAGTTCCAATTTTGATTACTTGGAAAATTCTTGTTCTTCCCCCCATTTTGCATGGCCTGCCATGCAGCTGCTGATGCGTTGTATGTATGTCCTCTTTCTTTTTTCTTATGAACCATCTTCATCTGGGAATTCTGATCCTTGGTCTTCTGTCTATTAAGTTGCTGTGGGTTCTTATTAACATTTCTAGATTGAGGGGCTGGAATGTTATACCTCTCTCCACCACCCATCTTCAGCTTCTTTGTCACCTGTGAGTGGAAACAAAATATTGAGTAAAATGCCAATTTAAAAATTCCAAAACTTTACTGCAACTCCAGAAATCTTAAGACTCAAAAATGTATATTCAGCTACTTTAATTTCTATGTTCACACTTCATTACATGCAATTTTGATTACCTCTTTAGAGTCCTCTATTTAAAAATAACAACCCATTTAGGAGGAATGCACCATAAAATGTTTGCCTCATTACAGCGTGAATTTTTTTATACCTTTCAGTCTGCTTTTCAGATTGCAGGATTTCCACTACCTGTCCTCTTCCTTGTTGCCAAGACCAGGATAATAGATGTTGCTTTCTGACAGAGCCTTTCCTTTGTCTCAAAACAGAAGTTTTCATGGGCCAATCTGCTGAGTTCAGCCTAAGAGCTGAGGCCAACATCTGAGTCTCCTCAGCACACAAGTTTGAGAGAAGTCCTAGCTGGAAATGAAAAGATTACTTCATTAATTCAAGTCAAACACCCAAGAGAAAAAGTGCCCGTTTATATTTACTACAGAAATAAAGAGTGACTACTCCTTGAGCTAAAGGACCGAAAATCTGAAGGTGTCTTTTTTTTTTTTTTTTTTTTTAAACCTGTCATCATTTAAGAACTCTCGGCCTTGAGATCCAGAAACTCGTGCTCAGGAAATTTTGGGACGGGAGCGGTGTTTCCAAGTCCCTGCAACAAGTAGTTCGTACCCTTTCCCTACGGACTTTTCAGGTTCTTAGACGGTTTTTGCGACCACAAGTCAATATAAGGAAGCATTAGCCTTCACAGCCTTAACAAGAAATTGGCTTAAAATTCGTTTTCTAAAGAGATCATGTCTTTAAAGTTCCAAGAGAACTTTCCAATCTTCCCACACATCCGTTTTCACAAAGCCTGTTTCCCCAACATGTTTACATCGCGCAGTGTTTTCTTACATTATGAACATGCTCAATTCCCCGTTTTAAAATAAGTGTTCACACACCTAACAAGCTAAGGCGGTTCCCATCTTACGTATATAAAAATGTCTTCCTACAGTGAATATTTAACATTCAAGATCCCATTTTCACTTGCTACTCCAAGAAACGAAGTTAACAATTAGCCCTCCTCTTTTCTAAAGGGTAATGGGGCCGTCCAGCCTATATTAACAGCCCTACGAGTTTCCGGAACTTGAGTCGTTCACAGCGCGAGCGACCCCAGGAAGTTCGCTTCTTCCAACGGGGCTTCCGAGCTGCTCCCTCTGTCTCGAGCCCGGCCCGGGAACCCACCCGGTCCTCCCGGCTGCCTGCTCCCCGCCGGGTTCCTGATCTCGTCTCCTTCCCCCAACAATGGGGGAGCACGGCCGCCAACATGGCCGTGCCCGCGGCGCCGCCGACACTCACCGACTTCAAGCTCGGGACTGCGGCGGCGGCTCCTGCTCAGCAACGAAGCCCCCTCCCCTTCCAGGGAGAGACGAGGCACGGAACGAACAAAGCCCACAAGCACCGACGACTTAGCTGCTGACCACCTCGGCGTCCGGTCTACTTCCTCCTCCTGCCTCTACCGACAAAATGGAGGCAGGGGTGAGCACAAGACCGGGGCCGGGAGGCACGGCGGCCAATCAAATCGCGCCGACGTGGGGCTCGGCCAATGAAACCTGGGCCGCCGCCTGTTGCTGGGGCGGCCGAGGAGGCGGAGGGAGGTGGTTGTGGCCGAGGGTTTGAAATCTTTCCCTAGAGAAGCATGTCGGGAACAACTGCTGCGGGTTCCCGACTGACCCTGGACCCGTGGAGGTGCCCGCTCAGCTGTTCCCGGCACCTCTGGCCGCGGTGGCCTCTGCACTCAGACCTAGCGACTCCCGGGGGTTGCCACGCCGACGCCCTGACCCAAGGATCCCGATTTCCCGGCGCGCGCTTGGTCCCTGGAAAGGGACAGGAATCGCCCGACGGGGCAGCACCTCCAACCTAGCTCTCTTGCTGCGGGCCCGTGGCCCCTTAGGGCCCGGGTGGTTTTCCTCCCGGAAGGGAATGACTAAAGGGACCGTTTGCCTCCCAAGTTCAGGTGACTGAACCGTGCGGTCAGTGTTTTACAGTTGGAAGGTTTTTCAACCATTGCTTTCCGCGGCCTGGCCCCCTGCTCCTTTGCTCCTGACACTCCCCCAATTCTGTTCCTCCGCGTGGAAACATCTTGGCAGCTCCCGAAGCTCGCGGTTCCTCCTGTCCTCCCCTCCCCAGGCTCGAAATTCTTTACAAGTTGTCTCCGCTGTGAGTGCTTTTCCAGCACCGGCGCGGACCAAACCAATCACCTCTCTGTCCCCACTAGTCCCTGACTTAAATTAGAGCCCTTCCTCATAGTGCATGGTGACTAATTGTGATTGCACCTGCCCAGCCACCCCACACACACCCTTGAGAGACAAGATTGGCTTTATTTGTCTTAGCACAGTGTCTTGCACGTGATAAGTGCATAAAAAGAGTTTGCTGGAAAATGGGGGCTCCTTTATTCCCCTTCCTGCCCAAGTGCAAGTGCAAAGATAGAGTTCAGTTGAGCATGCCAAAGAGGTGCAGGGCAGAGGAAAAGGGCAACTTCTGTGTAGTAAGTGCATTAGCAATGCAGAGTGTTTTAAAAGAGAACGCCAATTTCTATGAATATATTAACGTTTTTGTTACTGAATTTATATATACTTTTTGGAAGTTCCACATAATTCGTTTTTTAATCTTCAGTTTTTTGCTGCCATCATCCCGCACCGCTATGTTCTTCTAGCCGTGGGCCTTAAGTTTCCTTAAGAAAACTACGGTAGTGACTACATTTTTAAAACAGGAATTTGTTAATCAAATTAATTTAGAAGAAGACTTACATTTTGAGCGCGGGACTTTCTGGTGCTATTATAGTCAAATAAGATGCACTACACGTGGTAAGTAACTGCCAGGTTACTAAATGTGTGATTTATTTCTTTAAATTCAAAAAGCTGGCTTAGATATCTGGCCAGAATATAGCCAGGCTGTATTTAACGGGTCAAAACTGACTTTAGAAAAGACCCTTACCATATGTCCTTTAATACAATGGTTTGTAAATGAACAGTCTGGTTTCAGTCTGAGCACATTATTTTTCTAATTTTTTTTTAATCATCCAAATGTCTTTCAAATTCATCCCACTCCCACCCCTTCTTTCTCTCTACCCTCCATAGATCTGATTGTCACTTTTTTAAAAAAACACTTCAGCAGCCCCTACTGTATTCCAGAACCCAATCATCCTCCAAATCTTACCCGTATAAACACACAGGTAATGTATTGGATACTTGTAAACACTCACACAGTGTATTGAATACTTTGCCTTCCCTCTCTTTGTGCTAAACTGTTGTTGCTTATGTCATTTCATTTACTTTTCTCAACTTAGGGGGCGGGTGCTATTTTCACCTCCACTGTACAGATGAAGAATCTGAGGCTCCAAAGTTTTAGAGCTGAGAGCCACCACTAAGACTCCAGAGCTCAGGCTCTATGTCGCCTGCAGCATCTGTCTGCGTCAGCTCTGCGTCCTCCCTGCGCCTGACACTGATGGGCTGTTGACGGGGCTGCCCAGGCTGCTGGCGGTATGAGGCTTCCATCCTGCTGTCTGGCTGAATGAGGTTTTCTGCCAGGTCAGAGTCCCACTGCCCTTAGGAGAGAGCGCTGTTAAAGTTTTTATCATGTCTCAGACTCTCAGCAGCCTCTCAAAATAATTTCCTACCTCATTGGTCATTAATATTTATACAGAGTGTACACAACAGCTCAGAACTGGAGAGCAGGAATTAAAAACACACCCTCTTTGGGGCATGTGATACAGCCTCTGCCTTGTCCCATGCTGGTCTTTAAAGTCACTGCCATCAACAAGTCCAATTAGCGGTTCTCAGTTCAAATAGGAAATGTTAATGCAAACAACAAAAAAAAGCTCTTAGAATGTAGACCAGACACCAATGCTGGGAGCCAAATGCATAATAAATATATGGGTGTGCTTTGGCCAAGTGGCTCGGTTGGAGCATCATCCAATACTTCAAAAGGTTGATTTCTGGTCAGGGCATGTACCTAGGTTGTAGGTTGGATCCCTGGTGCGGGGCACATAGGGGAGGCATCTGACTGATATTTCTCTCTCACATAGATATTTCTTTAAAAATAAATAAATTTTAAAAATAAAGTAAAAATAATACCAAACATTTATTTAACAAAAATTTATTTGGTGCCTTCTTTGAGGCAGGCACTCTGTCAAGATTTGGGAATACAATAGTCAATGAGACTCCATCCCAGCCCTACAGGAATTCAAAAGCTCCACTAGAAATCAGAGAAACTAGAGTTCACTTCCTCAGTCCCTGCCCTCCCCCCGCACCACCAAGAGTCAAGGACATGCAAGGCCAATTGTAAACGCAAAAATCAACGTGCTGACATCACTGAGGAGCGCAGGTTACAGATTTCGTACCAGACTGTGGAATGGAGGGGAAAAGGATGGGATTCCCATACTTGCTGAAATCCTTTCCCAGGAGAATCTGTTTGAATAATGTACCAGAGGAAGCCAAAATTAACAAAACCTGTTACATAAACATTACCTACCTAATCTGTAGGTAGCAGCAGGAGATGAAAGTGTTTCTGAAAGTTCCACTTCGGAGCACTGGCAGGTTGCAGTCTGATGCTTACTGTATGTGAGACCCACAAGTGTCAGGCAGGTGGGGCAATCACCCAGGTTTGCCAAACCTGTAGAACAAGCCACTAGTGGGACTGACTGGCTTTCAGGCTGTGTCACTGACTGGGAGGCTGGGTTACCTCCCAGTCTGTCTCAGGCTGGCGTGGTTATTTTTATTCCTTAAGCTCCTGTCTGAATTCAGAGTATAACTTTGAATGCTTGCAGATCTGTCCGTTGCTGGCTTATTTCAGTTAGGAAAAGCAAGTTCTTAGAACATGACAAAGTAAAGTGAACGCCTGCCTGGCATTTTGATGTGCCTTAGGGCTCTGATCGCATTGCCAAACTGGTATCAAAACACACCCCCCTCTGCACACTGTGAATTTGTTTCCTGGGGAAGCATCTGCTGCATGGTCCCAGTTGCTCACGCATTCCCAAGCGATTACACAATAGTTCTCAGCCATTACAGCCATTTCAGTCCGATGACTAATTGGGGCACAGGAAGTCAATGCTAACCTGACATACTTCCTGTGACTCTGACCCAGAGGCTCTCAACCTCCCAGACCTTTAAAGGATTCTGAGGCATGAACTCACACTCCAGATCAGAATCTTTGAGGATGGATGCTTGGGTGTTCCAATTCAGCTGAAGAGTAGCAGAATATGCCACTCCAAAATATGCCACTTTAGCCTAAGGATAATTAGGCTAAAAGCACTCAAGAAAAAGCAGGTGCAAGAAGGGCACTTTGACATCACCCAAACTCTTTCCTTCATGAAAACAGGAGAGAAAGATATCTTCCCAGTAGCAGGAGGAAAGAAATATCCCCCCCCCACCCTTACCAAGGACATTTTTTTCATTGCTTTTAGAGAGAAAGAAAGGGAGAGACAGAAACCTTGATCGGTTGCCTCCCTCATGGGCCTGGATCGGGGATCATATGTGTCCTGACCAGGGATCAAACCTGCAACCCAGGTATGTGCCCTGACCAGTAATCGAACTTGCAACTTTTCAGTTTCTGGACAATGCTCCAAACAGTTGAGCCACACCAGGCAGGACAGAAACATTCTTATCACAAGAGATTGGGGGCAGGAGGGAGACCCAGAAAATTCTGTACAAACAGACCTTGTCAACATATTACATTCCTCTAGCCTCCCCATGTATGTATTTTAACTGCGTTACCACAATTGCGCCTCTTTGTTCAACCTAGTTTAAAAGCATTTCAGAGTTGCCACTTCTTTGAGTGTTCGTTTCCTTATGAAGGCTCCCATGTCACTTAAAATTTATATTAAATAAATGCGAATGCTTTTCTCCTGTTACCTGTTGTATGTCAATTTAATTCTCAGGCCCTGCTGAAGACCCTAAGAAGGTAGAGATAGTTTTGCATCCCCTGGAAAGATGAATGAGGACTACTGCTCTAAGTTTTTTTAAGAGCCATCCCCTGATGCGGGGTGGAGGTGTATGAAGGGGGTGTTCTCCTGTGTAATCCTCAAAGTAGTGATCACACCAAGCAATGGGGAAAATTAAGAAACAAATTCCTGAATATCCAAAGTTGTTTAGATTAGTTTTTTAAGTGTCTGTTACATAAGTAGACCCCCAGGCTCTACCATCAGGCCCCTTGCTAGTCTGCTGATATAAGCTGTCCATTTCTTGGTTCATAATAAAAGGTAATCTCGGACATCCAATACCAAAGGGCAAAAAATGGAATATGAGAGCCATCCCCTTATGTATGAGACTGGAACAGTACCTGTCTCCCAACTATTCACACTCATGGCATGAAAGCAGACACACAATCCTCAGTTTAGCAATCATGGATGGCTCTAAAGAGAATCAAATAAGATATGAAACCACTCAAACTACTACACTGCGTTTGTTTGGTTTGACAGTCTCTGAATTCCTATGCACATATTTGCCTTACTCCTTTCTTGCTTTCTCCTCTGTGAAACATTGTATTGCAGCACCCGGCATTT